CTCCTTGGCGCTCTCGTTGAAGTACCGGTGCCACAAGAATCCGGGCGCACCTCCCTGCAGGTCCTGGGCGCAAAGCTCCTCGAGCTCCGCGTCGAAATGGCCAGCCCAGACGCCCCGCGCGAAGTCGATGGCCGCCTGCGTCTTCCCGTCCTGGCCCTGCTGGTCGCGGTAGTTGGCCACTGGGACAGCGAATGTGTTTCCGAACCCCCCATCCGGAGTCACGTGTCGGGGTCTCGTCTCGACGAAACTGAGCAGCTAAGCCATCTTCCTCGCCAGTGGCTGAGAAGTGCTTCAAGACGGCAAGCGGCGAGCGAAACATGGAGACTGAAACCGCAATTGCCTTGTCGATCATCGCCGCCTCGTGAAGAATGTACGCCATGAGATCTTGTTTCTTGAAGAGCACGTGCGCCATCGCTGGGGACTTTTTCTCCTGTCCCGTGACCTTGCTCAAGGTCAGGCCCTCCCCCCTAAGGGCGTCGCCGGTCAGTCGGGCCACGCGCAGGCAGTCCATGATGAACACCATCGACTCGCGGGAGGTCGCGTCCTTGTCTGCCTTGGAAGACGCCGCCCTTCCATTGCATAACTGAGCCAACCGCAGCAACAACGTGGGTTCGCGGAGCTCAGGGCAGAAAGCCTCCGACAAAGAGTATGCCACGACGCACGCCTCATCCCCGACGAAAGGCGTCAAGTTTTTCAAGCACTTCGCGTGTGACTCGGCGAGCGGCTTGCCCTTGAACGCGAGCCCGTAGCTCTTGAGGGCCGCGAACAATTTCGGCAGGGACAGGTTGTCGGCCATAGCCTTCTGGCACCTTGTAAGTCGAGCCACTTTCTCCGCCAGCTTCCAAAAGGAATCCGCGCCAGAGGCTGCGGACGCGGTGAACATGGTCTCAGAGAACATCAGCGCGGCCAGCTGGCAAGCGTCCGAATCGGGGCTGAGACGCAGCCTGATTGGCACACTCAGAGCTGCCTCGAACAACTTGAATGCACGCTCAGTGTTGTCGGTGGACAACGCCTCTGCCCTGGCGCCATGCCAAGCCATCGCAAGCGCGTGCCCCGCCAGCATGGGCACGCCCGTTGCCGTGAGTACAGAAGATTCGCCTGCGCCCATGCGCTGCGCCACCTTGGTGTTGACCACTCGCGCGGGGAGCGGCACGTCGAACGAGTAGCGCCGCGACGGCGGGTGGTCGGATGACAGCAAGAGCTTCTCCTCAGACCACATCCCCATGGCGGCATCGAGCTGGCTAATGGTGACGGAGTCGGTCGTGTCGCCGGCGAACGGGTCCAGCATCCAGACTGTCCCCGCAGCCTCGTATTGCCCCGTCTTAGAGAAACTCATCTGCAAGTTGTCGTAGTTCATGACCTCCCGGAACGCCGACAAGTTCGCGCCAGAGGCTGCAGCAGAAATTTGCAGGGGAGGGATGAGCATGACGGAGCCCGGAATTTTGAAGGAAACTTGCGTGCGTCGATCTGTCAGGAACTTCAGGAGAGCCTTGTCGACGTAATCCTTCGCCCCCTTGGCCCAACTACGAAGATGGTCCGTCTGGGCCTTCAGCAACTCCATCTCCAGCAGCCCCGTGACGGCCAGTGGCCCTGGCGGTGAAGGCAACGGCGCAGGCGGCGCATCGGTCGGCTGCTGCGCAGGAGGCCCCTGCGCCGTGCGCGGCTTCTTCGCCGCGGGGCCCCCTCCATCTTTGGGCGCCATGCGCGCGTATGAACGAGGTGGCGCAAGCAGAGGCGCGCGGGCCACGTTGCCAGCGCTGGGCACTTGAACCGATCAGCTGCGATGCGTGGTCTTCTCAAACACACTTTTGGATGCCCAGCCATGCTTGGAAAGGTGGTCTGGTATACTTGTGGTCGGGGTCTGGTTTGCTGCTGGGCGGCCTGGTGTACTCGTGGGCGGGGTATCGTCGACTGGCGAACGGGTGGTGTACGTTTGGGCAGAGTCTGGTCCACTTTTTGGCGGGTTCTATGTATTTTGGGGAATATCATTTCTGGGTGGTCTGGTCAATTTGTAGGTGGTCAGGTCTACTTTTTGGCAGGGTCTGGTCTACTTTTTGGCAGGGTCTGGTTTACCTATGAGTGGTCTGGTCTACTTTTTGGCAGGGTCTGGTCTACTTTTTGGCAGGGTCTGGTTTACTTTCGGGTGGTCTGGTCTACTTTTTGGCAGGGTCTGGTCCACTTTTTGGCAGGGTCTGGTTTACTTCCGGGTGGTCTGGTCTACTTTTGTGCGGGGTCTGGTCTACGTTTTGGCAGGGTCTGGTTTACCTACGAGTGGTCTGGTCTACTTTTTGGCAAGGTCTGGTCTACTTTTTGGCAGGGTCTTGTTCACTTATGGGTGGTCTGGTCTACTTTTTGGCAGGGTCTGGTTTACTTTTCGGCAGGGACTGGTTTACTTACGGGTGGTCTGGTCTACTTTTTGGCAGAGTCTGGTCTGATTTTGGCGGGGCTTTGTTTACTTATGGGTGGTCTGGTCTACTTTCTGGCAGGGTCTGGTTTACTTTTTGGCAGGGTCTGGTTTACCAATGGGTGGTCTGGTCTGCTTTTTGACAAGGTCTGTTGTACTTTTTCGCAGGGTCTGGTTTACTCATGGGTGGTCTGGTCTACTTTTGGGTTGGGTCTGGTCTGGTTTTTGGCAGGTCTGGTTTACTTATGAGTGGTCTGGTCTACTTTTTGGCAGGGCCAGGTCTACTTTTTGGCCGGGTCTGGTTTACTTATGGGTGGTCTGGTCTACTTTTTGGCAGGGTCGGGTCTACTTTTTGGCAGGGTCTGGTCTACTTTTTGGCAGGGTCTGGTTTACTTTTTGGCAGGGTCTGGTCTACTTGTTGGCCGGGTCTGGTATACCTATGGGTGGTCTGGTCTACTTTCTGGCAGGGTCTGGTCTACTTGTTGGCCGGGTCTGGTTTACATATGGGTGGTCTGGTCTACTTTTTCGGCAGGGTCTGGTCTACTTTTTGGGAGGGTCTGGTTTACTTATGGGTGGTCTGGTCTACTTTTTGGCAGGGTCTGGTCTACTTTTTGGCAGGGTCCGGTTCGCCATCGGGTGGTCTGGTTTAATTTTTGGCATGGTCTGGTTTACTTTTTGGCAGGGTCTGGTTTACCTATGGGTCGTCTGGTCTACTTTTTGGCAGGGTCTGGTTTACTTTTGGGCAGGGTCTGGTTTACTTATGAGTGGTCTGGTCTACTTTTTGGCGGGGTCTTGTCTACTTTTTGGCAGGGTCTGGCGTGCTTATGGGTGGTCTGGTCTACTTTTTGGCAGGGTCGGGTCTACTTTTTGGCAGGGTCTGGTCCACTTTTTGGCAGGGTCTGGTTTACCTATGCGTGGTCTGGTCTAATTTTTAGCAGGCTCTGGTCTGCTTTTTTGGCGGGGTATGGTTTACGTTGTCTGCTGGTCTGCTTTTTTGGCAGGGTCTGGTCTACTTTTTGGCAGGGTCTGGTTTACTTTTGGGTGGTCTGGTCTACTTTTTGGCAGGGTCTGGTCTGGTTTTTGGCAGGGTCTGCTTTACTTTTGGGTGGTCGGGTCTGCTCTCTGGCAGGGCCTGGTCTACTTTTCGGCATGGTCTGGTTTACTTATACGTGGTCTGGTCTGCTTTTCGGCAGGTTCCCGTTTACTTGTTTGTAGGGTCTGGTCTGCTTATGGGTGGTCTGGTGTACTTTTTGGCAGGGTCTGGTCTTCTCTTTGGCAGGGTCTGGTTTACTTATGGGTGGTCTGGTGTACTTTTTGGCAGGGTCTGGTCTACTTTTTGGAAGGGTCTGGTCTACTTGCGGGTGGTCTGGTCTACTTTTTGGCAGTGTCTGGTTTACTTTAATGGCCTGCCCCCCACCCCCCCCTCCCGCCCCATCTTTCGACAAGAACCGCGAAACCGTGCGCGGTTCTCCCCTGTGTCTGATTAGGCTGGTCCAAAGCTTCGGTATCATGGCTTGCGCAACCTCCCACCCCTGTTGGCACTGCGCGATGCTACAGATCCCTGACCAGAACAACTCGCCTGGACGTGCTTCCAGGGACACGCGAAACTTTTTTTTTTCTTTTTTTTGTGTTTTGTTTGTTGTTTTCTCTCTCTCTCTCTCTCTCTCTCTCTCTCTCTCTCTCTCTCTCTCTCTCTCTCTCTCTCTCTCTCTCTCTCTCTCTCTCTTTTCCCGGGGGGCTCCTCGGGCGCGCATTGGCATTCCGTCCACGGTCACTGCCTTGGGCCCACCTTCATTCCTCATTTTCCTCGCTGCAGACGCCCATGCGACGACGTCGCGCAGACTCGAGAAACACGCCCCGCCAGCGGCTGGGGGGGGCGCTTCCGACACTGCGAGTTTCGACCCCGCTCTGCGGGCCACGCGCCGCGCCGCCGCCCTCACGTCTGGATGCCCCGCGACGAGGCCTGGCGCGAGATGGATCACCTCCCCGCGCTGGTTTGCTGGAACGTGGCGCATGCGGTGGCCGAGTGGAATTCCATCTGGGTGGCACTGGGCAGAGACAAGGTGTGTCTTCGTAACGACGTCGAGGCCCAGCGACGCGATGTAAAAGTAAGAGACGGTCAGGTCCGCGCTGGCTGCTATCGCATCCAAGTCGTGGAGGAACGAAAAGTCTGGAACGACGACGAGGTCTGCTTCTGCACAACGGTGTCTGCCAGTGACAGTAGCGCAACCTCTCGCAGGGCACGTGTCGGTCGCGCCGCCGAGGCTTGCTACCTTGCTGCACGGCGAGGGCCGCGCCAGAGGCTGCGTCGTCGCACCTCGTCTTGGAGCCAGGTGGACGCCGGGCGGACTCGCGAAGGGCGCCCCTGGACACGCCCGCGCCTGCGTGACGCCTGGTATATTCTTGCGGCTGCGCGCCTGGAACTTACCCATGCCATCGTTCCACAAAGCGCTCGCCTCGGTGCCGGCGCCAGAATGCACCGTGGTCGAAGACTGGCCCCGCGCCCGTCGAAGACGCGCGGCAGCCACGGCCAGGCGGGCGGCCCCAAGAACGGCCCGAACACGTCCTCGAACAAGCCCGGGCGCACCGCGCCTCTTTAACTTGGCCGCCGCAGTAGCGTGAGGATTGTAATGCCCATGCGATGGCCGAACAGTTCCAGCCAGAGGCTGGCGCATTCCCTGGAGAAGGACGTCAGGCCCAGTCCAGAGCGAGCTGCGCCTTCGTCGAAATCAGCCGCCGTCTTCGGCCCGTTCAACTTCACGATTAAGCCGTCGTCGTGGAAGGCGATATCATCGGTGCGGTGCTCTACCCGTTGGTCCCGAAATCTGGCCAAGTCGCGTTCGACGGTGCACTCCCCGTCTTCAATCGAGATGTAGAAACGCACCAGGCGGCAGAGCACGCGAGAAGACCCTCGGAGACGCCTCGGGCAAGCCGCCTCCCAAAAGTCATCGTCGAGCACGCGAGCCCACGCCTGCTGGTTAGTTGCCCCCGCCAGTGGCTGGGATGGCTCCATCTGTTCCATCATGTAGGGAAGCACGCCGTCGCACTGTCGCATCGCCGCCTGCTCGTCGCAACCGAGCAGGGCCGCCAGCTGGCGCGCGCCCCGCAACAGGAACCGCCGCACTTCAACATCAGGCACTGGGCCGAAACCTTTCTGCACGAGACGCCGGTCAAACATCGCCAGCGCCGAGCGGACGTCAGTCCGCGGGAAGTCCTGGAGCAAGCGCTCTTTTGTCAATCCCGCCACGTTCTGCATTCGGTGGAGGAGCTCCTCCTTGTGCGCCGCTGCTGGTTCCCCCCATGGCATCACGGGGTCGCCGTCTGCGTAGAACACATAGTTGGTGCGGAGATTGCGCATTACCGTCTCTGTGATAAAGCCCGCCTCATGCCCTACCGCGCGGAGCCGCGGCGGCAGCGGCTCCTCGGCAGCTGGGGCGGTCACGCCAGAGGCTGCGGCTGCCGCGGGGGGGCGGGCGGCCTGGAGAACCGTCTGGAAGACACGCCCTTGCATGAAGACCGCGTCCAACGTCTCGACCATGCAGTCGATCTCAGAACGCGACTTCGCAATGTCGTGGCTGGCGACGTCGAAGAGCCGCAAGAACCAGTTGCATATGATCCCCCAATCCGCCGACACACCAACGGCCATACAAAACTTAGTATCGAATTTCCGCAACAGGGCGCCTGCCCGCTCGCGCTGCTCCCGATCGTGGCGACGGTCGGACGCGATGTACGCCAGCAAGGTTGCCACCGGCAGAAGCATGAGAGCGATTTTCAACACGGGGCCCGCCGTCGAGTCGAAGCGTTGCTTGGCGAACGCCAAGCTCCGCACGATTCCCGCCAGGGGCTGGGGCCCTCCAGGGAGTCCAGGCACCGCCACTGCATGCACGTTGTCCTCCTGGATGGCCACCAGAAGGTTGTGCCACTTGGTAGAATTCATCAGGTCAGGAACCAGCGCATGCCGATCATCGAACAGCTCCTTCCATACCTGCCCAAACACGTCGTCGCAGTGCATCGACTTGCAGGCAATGCGAATGGCGTGAGCTGGGTCGCGAATCACGATTAACAAGTTAGGGAACAGATCGCGAGCAGCGAGAAAGACTGAACGCCGCTCCTTGGACGCGCCATCGGCAGCAAAACTGGTGACTGTTCCCAGCACGTGCGCTTTCAGTTTCTGGTCGCACGCCAGCGGCTGCGCTCCCCTGTGGCCTTTTATTTTGCCGAGCGGCGTACAGAATTTCGTAAGAAAGTCATCGAGCTGCTTAACCGCAGTGACAGCGTGGTCATCCTCGAAGTCGGACGCGTGTTTTTTCGAGCAGTCGAGGAGGCCTAACACGCCGGACGCGCAAAATCCTGAAGCGCCAACGTTCCCCACGTGGAGGCCCGCGCCGCTGTTTCGCGAAGAAGGGAGGTCGGGCGCGCCAGAGGCTGCGGTGCAGGCGGCAATCGGGAGGTCGACGCGAAACCGCACGATCTTCCGGTACTTCGACTCATCTATGGCCAAAGAGATGGAAGTCGCCTGGAGCAGCGTTTTGCTGATCCTTCTCCTCAGGACTTCCGCCATCACTTGGAGTTGTCGGCGCTGGCGTTTCCGCATTCTGTTCGCCTGCGTCGCCGCCGGATCAGGCGCGCGGCTTCTCTTATCGCTGACGCGAGCGGCCTTCCGGAGAGAGACTCCTTCTGATAGCACCGCC